TGTGACCTTTGTAAACGCCCTCTTATTTATTTCGCGGTAACCCGACTTTCGCCATTTATACATTCCCATATTATATTTTATTTAAAAAAAAAAGCACCAAAAAAATAAACAATAGACTGTACGCAAGTCTACAGAATAAACTAGAGGAACACGTGAAAATGAATAAAATGTGTTATAAGAACAATCGTTCGATTTATACATTCTAATAATAAGTTGTTGCAGCTACTTGTAACTTATTGGACTCCGTATAGTATTACTTTGCGATAGACAGGCCATAACAAATGGCACATCCCAGTAATCAGAAACGACAGATGCAGTTGCTGAAATCTGTCATTTTTTAACAATCGACATTTAACCCCAACAACACCTGCGTATCCTATCATTCAGTAGCTTGATATCATCTGGCAGAATGGCTTCTGTAAATCTTGTTTTAAATAAAATACATTGTTTAATTAACAGAAAACACTGTTGAAATTAAAAACACATGTATTGTAATATAATACATCTGTATTTTCTATCAAAACAGTTTTAGTATTTTTTGAAAAGTGTTGAAAATTAAACATATTGTAAATACTTAAAAATGCGCTTTTCAAATTAAAACGCCGAGTGCTTTACGGGGATATAAATGTGTCATTAAATTTATATTGATATGACATATGCGGATTAATGCAATAACACAAAATTGAGAGAAGAGTAATTGAACAACATTCTGGGACTCGACTTGAGGACTCGTAGGTAAACCTTATGGTATATATGTCTAACTAGACGGCCACCGAAGTTGACGTAATTAAACGCATAATAAGATTGTCGTGACTTTATTCAGGAAATTGTTTTATGTTGAATGTTGGTCCGAGTTATATATCATTACCACCCTAAACACCAGGTTGTGGAAGAATTAATTGTATATATACTCCTGTATGGCCTTACCAAATGGAAACTCGAAATCGAGGCACGTGGTGAAGGTACTTGTAACGTAATGGAGTTTATATTCCGCATTTGGAGAAGAGTGGTGGTGGTTGGAATCAGAGCATTTAAACACGTTTTTCTTGAAAACTGTTTCAACCCAATACACCAGCGTATAAATGTTCCACAAAGTATTAATAAGCAAGACACATTTTGTTCATGAAAGTATCTAAAACACCTTTCTCCCAAACTGTTGTATTTTGAAATACTTCAGAAACAAACATAAATGTAATGTTTCAAACTAAACACTCGACTATACATGATTCATAAATTGTTTATGTACAGGACAATTGTATTTAGTGTACATAATGAAATGTAAATGATGGTCTCTCACAATGAACACTTTTATATATTGCGTGTGACTGGTAACTTGTGTCGTACGCATGCCCATTCAACGATTGGAGTATACTATCAGAAGCACGTGGACAGGTGACAGACTCGTTAAAGAAGCAAATGCACTGAATCTCTTTTAGGTTTTCTAAAGGAAGCCGGAAGTTATCGTAAATAAACTTGAAGGTATGGTGGTCAAAGCATTACATGGATAGAAAAGAGAAAGAAATGAATATATCTAATGATCGAGTCCCTCTGTTTGTTTACGATTTACGTTGCGGTTTATTTATACTGCTGATCATCCCAGATGATGTGAGATCTTAATGTGTAAACATTTTGGCATAGATCGTGATTTAAACAGCAGCGTTGGCTGTTTTCAATGTGCTAAATAAATATAGAAAACTGTCAGTAACTGTGTTTCTAGTTGCAAGGTTGTGAAAGTGTAAACAGAACCTGAACTAAAATGCAAGGAAATGTGAATCGTACTTATTGATTTATTGTTTATTTATCTTTGATTCATCAGTTAACTCAAGAAGCGATTGTCTCCCCTGTGTCCAGTCAAGTATAAATTACATATTCAAAACTATTATAAAAACCTTATAACAAAATATAAAACAATACAATACATAAGTTACTGCTGCATACATTAACATTCTACATATCGTTCGATATTGTTTTAGACAATGGTGTTCATGAGATGAGACTACTTGCTGTTTAATTAGTTCTATCTTATAAACACCCCATATAATTTTAGCGATGCTCGGCTTATTTTGGGGCGTGCTGACACATATAGGAAGATATCATACAATTCAAAACTTTAAACAATAAACAAAAATAATCTTATATTTATTCTGTCTAAAATATGCACAAAAAACTTCTTCGTAAGATTTGTCCGCCACGACATACGTATCGCATGTACTTGTAGTTTAATAAGTCTGTACAATAGTCATGATGAGAAAATATATAAACTATCCACTGCAATAATATATGTTTCATATATATGTATGATATCAGTTATCTTAACTTGTGTTGAATACTTATACAAAAGGAAACAAACATGTGATGTATGTTAATTGGTGGGCAACGTTTAATTCGAAATGGATGTTTTTAAATATATCCTATATTCGCACTGATATAATTATTATTTTATTTTATTTTTCAGTTGGCAATCATAAACGACGCAGATTGCTCTGACCGTCACAGGGAGTATTACTCGTACCAATTATCATGATTAGAGCACATTACTACAGTATTCATACATAACAAAGCATATTAATCGTATCGCTACCAGGTGGTTGTGAGCTCAATCAGTTTTAGTAGACCAGACCCTAACCGTTTGATCAGACAGTAAAATCCAGTACGGTTCTATGGGTGCGAAATCTAGAAGGCCACTTAATGACTAAAAATATTATTATTATACACACGGCTAAATATATTACAGTGAATATTGAGCTGTTTCTTAAATAACCATGGTCTGACCTTTTTTGAAATAAATGAATGTGGGCACAGGGTAATAAAAATATAACTAAAATTGATTTTTCGTTCGAACAAATAATGTAATTTCCCAACCGTATACAGGTATTGCGAGAGGAAGAAAAGCCTGTTACGTCGTGTGTATTCATTATGTATCATAAAGCTGTTATGGCTCTGTATTATCTGATTTAAAATACGAGAAAACGGCAAGTAAAGCAATGTAATTAATGGAACGAACCTAAAATGATTCATCGGTGTTAGCCGCCGTAAGTCAGTATAGTTTAGCGGGTTTATGGAATTCTCAACTGACACACCCAATTCATTCAATCGACGCGTGAGTTTCTCAGTATAGGAATCATTATAAATATGTATTTTCAGATTTCCCTTGTGGATTGGATAGATTCGATGTGCATGATGTTTCCATGTATAAACAATAAATGACTTAGATTTCAAATTAGAGAGCTGAGTAGAAAAGTCAACTAATACTTAATAGATTATTAAGTAAGATTCTTTTTAAAACCAAGGTCATCATTTGAAAAAAAATCGGATCGTTAATTTCCACTTATCCAACATATGACTTTCAGAAAATTATTACATCACAATTTACAATAATCAATATGTTCTTTGATGCTTGGCCGTTATGGCAAGTACGGAAAACATAATGAACGTAAATGTGATATCAATCACCATCCCTAGTCTTCATTTACTAAAAGAGCAAAATATCTATAATTTGGCATTGATATCTTTTGACGAGGAGCATTCTTAATTATGCAGTTTTTTGCTGTTAAAAAGTACGTTTGCATCAGATCCGTTGGATTGGTTTAATCTTATATTAATATTGTTTCCATTAATATTGTAATCATGGCCATGCAAATTTGTGAATTAGAAGAAAAAACCTAGTAACAATAAGAAATGAATAAACAGCAAATAACTGCATACAGTACAAACAGTCTGAAGTATATCATCTATGTCACGTATATTATTATACAAATATTCCTAGAACTTAACTCAATAATAACGCTTCAGTTGCCATAATGTTTTGCATTCACCGAATAGTGAGACCGGAGACGTTTTATAACCCACCTAACCCACACCCAGTACTATAAAACACCTGTTTTGTTGAACTATGAAATTATACTTCTGTACATTCAAGTTTAGGGTTCAATTGCCGCACAAAACGTGTTTTCGTTCATCGCATGGTGGTGCATTGTTCGTTCATTTTTATTGACTGAATAAATAACCATGGTCGTGTTATGTTTCGTGACGTCAACTAGTACAACTGATTCATGTGCCATACATTTTTGTAACGAGTTTTGGAAAGTCACAGTCTGCGTCAATCTTGTGGCATGACCTTTAAATAAACGACCTGTGATACTCAGATTTTACCTAATAGGTGTCTAAAATGATTTGCGGTAATTGTGTATACAGCGTATGCGCGAATTATAGTACCACGATCGTAGATATCGTCACGTGAAGCGTCGAATATACTTGCTAATAAAAATACAATGCTATATAATAGCATTTATCGGAGCATACGTGTGTCATCTCACAGTAATTTTACATTAGCCTTGTGACATCTGATATACAATGTGTCGTGTCGCGAATATACATCGACAAGTAACTCGCCGCTTCTGCTGCTGGGCTTGGTAAATTTGGAGCACATTTCATCATTGGGCGCCAACGCTACTCGTGTTCCAAAGGACTATCACATGACTTTACAATATCGACCGATATACTTTTCAAAACCAGACACATGACAATAACTAAAAGGCACTTCATGCTGTGAACTAACAGATATCATCAGATAAACTTTCACTGATTGAGTCGAAACATCACTGTGTTCCAAAGGAAAACATTTTTAGGAGAATGAATACGACTCGATGTACTGGTATTGGTTAATATGACAGCTGTTATGATGTACTGTGGCGGTGTACTGTTAATGAGTCCATTAAATAGTACAATTTGTCATCAACGACGACTGGCGGCAAGTCTTCTGAAGTTCACGGTCAAATGAAAGAGAATGAATAGGGTTTGATATTGGATTCCAGTAAAAGCCCACACAAGATTTCCGAATTAGAAAATTAGAATTTCGCTACGTAAAGAATCCAACTGCCGTATGCCAATACTGTCAGAAATGACTTTGGAATAATGACTTATTCGGTTACGGTCGTTAAAATGTTGTTCATAGTTAATAAAATAAGTTGATTTATATATTTATAAGTATCAAAGTATTGTCACCAGTGGTGGTTCAATCTGCACCTCAAAACTCGAAGGAAAGCTTTTTTGAATTCCTTATTGGAAAATGTATAGATTATAGGGTTCAGCATTGAGTTCATGTAGCCTAGCCAGGCAAAAAATCCCAACACAACAGGATGCACTTGGCAAGACGCGCAAAAAGGCAAGACGACGGCGAAGATGAAAAACGGCAGCCAACAAACTATGAATACACCGATAATGATCCCGAGAGTTTTCGCCGCTTTTCTTTCCCTTGCTAAGCTAATCGCCCTCATGTCATTTCCCCGGGAACTCATGCTGTTAACCCTTTCTTGTTTTTGTGGCTCCAAATGCAAATTGTCTGTGGTCGCTATCTGTGCGCTCACCGTCCCTACAGTCGGTGTCGTTACGCGAGTGTTGCTTCCCCGAGTTGCGGTTGGTGCCACCTGGTTACGTCGAATCCTCATCCTAGCAGCCCGAAAGATCCTGCAGTACACAAAAATTATAATGCTCAGTGGCACGTAAAATGCGAAAAGTGTTGAGTATATGGTATACGCCAAGTCTTGGCTGATGTTACATACGTTAGGATCAGCTCGGTCGTTCGGGGTCCGCCAGCCAAATAGCGGCGGAATAGAGACGAGTGCGGATATGATCCACACACTGACAATCATCCACGCGGCTCGCCGAGGGGTTCGCTTGCTTACGTACTCCAGCGGCTTGGTAATGGCCCAATACCTATCTAACGCAATGACTGTTAAATTAAGAATACTTGCAGTGCAGCACAGAACGTCCAAGGAAATCCACACGTCGCAGAAAATAGTTCCAAAAATCCATGTCTCAGTCAAATCATAGGCCAGTCTTATTGGCATTACTAGAAGCGAGACGAGAAGATCTGACAGCGCTAACGAGCCAATCAGATAATTTGCGGCAGTTTTGATGTTTTTCTCCAGTTTCAATGCAATAATGACCAATGAGTTACCAAAAACAGACAACACGATGAGAAAACAGCCGGCAATTAAAGCGAGTATAGCGTATATATCTGTTGAAAATACCGCACCAGCTCGAGTTGTTGGCACGATAGTACTCGATGAATTGTTTTCCATGACGAGCTCTGTAGTGACCATCGTGACTGGATACCACAACTTTTCGTGAGCTGAACTACTAAAGGAAATGGTTAACAATCGTTTCGCAAACAAATGCAATCTCCTGAATTCACGATTCCCGGATTACGTGAAACTCAGTTGCTGTATATACAAACTCATCATCGCGATACTTACGATCGGTGACTGAACTATCCAAACGTAGAATACGCGCATGCGTAGTTTGTACATATGGGAGAGTGTGTTGTCCGTTGCGTTGGTGGAGGGGGGTTACCTTCAATTACTAAAGAGGCTGATAACAAAACGCAACACATATGATAACTATGTTCAATTCAATGTATTTAATGGTATTTATCTGAAGAAAACTATATGCATTAATTCCGTCGCCTTGTTCAGATGTTTTCCACACTGTGCAAATACAAACACCCAATCCATCTCTAAACACGTTAAGCAACAGAGTCTCGAGTTACGCTTTACAAATCAAGGGTAAAACAAAACGCGTTCTTGTTTTGAATGCTCCGCTACCCGAATCAAAATATTTCAACCGCGGTCCGATCAACAGGATAAACAAACTCCATAATACCATGATTGAGAAGTTGTTTAAAAACCAAATTTATATATTGTTCTTCCAAAACTAACTGGGTATGTGAATTGACATGTGTTTAACAGCCAAGAGAAAGCAATGTATGATATATACCACACGGCCTTTATTTGTGAATTTCCTACCACAAGTTATTTCAATTGTACAAACAATACTATAATCTTTAAGAGTAAACTTATTCATTCGGACCAGGTTATATTTTCATAACCGCCGGGCCCCATTCGGTCCTTCAACTTTCCACCCATTGATCATCTGTTCCATTGTACCATGAAATTAATTCTTACCCTTGCGTGATTCTCTCGTCACAGTGCATAGAACACGTATGTGTCGACTAAAGATCGTATTACTGCTAGCACTGATACTTGTATTCTGCTTGGCATCAGTAAACAATGTGTTTGTAAATAGTCATGTATATTAAACAAATCTCGAAGACTTACCATAATATCGCATTCTTAGTAAATGCTCTATTATGCACTATTTCTTTAGAAGATGCGTGTTTTATTTTTGTTTTCATACAATGCACAAAAACGACACATGTGCGTAGGTTATGTGACATCAATACCCTTCCATCTTACTATAACAAATCACCTTGTGAAAATTAAAACGCAAAACTGTCGGTAGCGACTATTTGCATTCCTCTGGACCATTAAAGTGACAGTCATTAAATTATGATATTATAATTCAAAAAAAGGATGGTGAAATTGACTCGACTTAGGGATGGAACAGTTCATCTGTTGAGCGTGGTCAAGTTCCAGTTGACGTATCTTATTACTACAGATCAGTTTCCATAATTACTTCGCACGATGTACATGGTTTGTACACCTCACTGTAAATAATAATGGTCCATCCCTTGAGCAATTGCAAGTTTATTGCGCACACCGACAAAGCTATTGAAACCAGAATCCTTAGTGCGAATAACGGACATTCCACGTATATGGGAGACGGCAATATACTACGCTACAACGGGCCACGAGTTATTAGATGGATTTTTTCGTTTGCTGCCATTGCCAGTACAGGGAAGTTTATTTGACGTTTTGTATCGATTTTAATTTGTTACTTTTGATAAATTTCGTACAAAATTGTACCTCATTAAAGTATGCAACCGCAATCTTTGTCGTGTTGTAATAGAACAGCCGCTATGAGCCATCATCAGAGGAAAGAATTCCATATATTTCATATATCTATATTTGTGCTTTAAGTATAATGACTTGTTAATCAGTTTTGTTATTATTCCGGTCGATGTTCTGGATTTTTAACAATTTAATTAGTACATAACGGACAGTTTGTTTATGGGTTATATATTGGGATCTGTTAAATTCATTACACAAACAACACATTCGCTGCTTCCAGTGGCATTTCGGTGACCTCTGACGAAGAAAGGCGTCTGGCACGATATGTTGAGTTTTTATTTCTTCCATATTTTAGGAGAACTATTATTAAGACGAAGACGCGACTTAAGTGCTTAGCTTCAGCTCATGGGTACCACATGTGGTCTTGCACATCGTATGTTAAATTAACCTACAACACACGAGTTCACTGTTTGGGATTCATCAACTGTTATTTTTTTCGCTCACTTTACTAGTTGGAGTTGGATAATAATTTATGCTACAATTTATGCAAAAATGCCAACGTAATACTTTCTTGGATGTATAAATATTGAAAAGTTACATTTATGTATTTCGTCATTTATATTTTTCGGCCAGGCGTCAGTCCTGGAAATTGAATGTTACTCATGTCTCTTTTGACTTTTCTGTACAAAGTGCCAGTTCTGATAAATTGTGTGACCATCTTCCTTTCATAACGGCCTTATGATAATTTAAAGCGTTGTCCCAGTGCAAAGCGGCTCTGTTGAACACACAAAAAAGCTGTTGACCTTAACCATTGGTTCTTCCAAAGTTGCAAATGATGACCTTACCATTGAGGTTGTGACCCACTCACCTGGGATGGGCGTTGACACCTCTTAGTGCTCACCCCAACAAGAATTCAAGTCTACCGATGATGAGTCGACGTAACAACCGCGATGCTGCTTGTGAACAGCATATTTTCTAAACTGTTTTCTCACTTCCACCATGCCTGATGACATGCTCCTTATCACCCCCCAACAACAGTTCAAGTGAAGAAACATTGGGGTAACTTGAATTTAAAGTCTTCGTTTTGCTTCAATCACACTTCAAGATGGCCCAACAACCCTGACACACATAGGCTATAATTACACTTTTCGTTTGATGGCCAAAATGTGTTTTACATCACAAACTGTGTGCCACTGCTCGGCGACCCCGTCTGAATCCAGTGTAACACAGTGATGATGGCTGTTAAACCAAGTGAACTTTTGACATCGGAAAGTTGGTGTACGTATGTGTCTTGTATCACGTCTTCATTATAATGTTAACAACGTTCTATCCGTATACAATTCATTAACTCCAACTAACTGTCTCAAAAATAATTAGGGCGATTGAAATGATTATGCAATACAGTTTAGGGAAATACGTGGTGCTTAGGCTGAATGTTAACAAATCCTTGTGTGTTGAACCGAGGCAGAATGAGTCATTTACATTTACTTTGAGTTGAGTTGAGAAGCTTAGAACAACAGTTTGCCTGGTGATCGGTACTGCCCTCGCCTCCGGCCTCGCCACGGTTTGTACGACTCTTGTTTTATTTTTATCAGCAGTGTCTCGCCGTACTGGCATTGTTTTTTCATACAATGAAAAGTGAAAACATGACAAGAGTTTCACAGAAAAACAAATACTGTAAAATACTTTATTTTCGCTTGGAATTATTTTTGCTATTTTCACTGAAGGAATGATTCACTGCAAATAACAACCAGAGAATTTACCTTTTTTCCTATATTTTACATTCAACTCGCCAAAAATCAGTGACAATTGAATTCCATACAAAACATCCAAAAAGTCTTTCAGCGAAAATTAATTCTAGCAATGCAGTTTTAATTCCTTTGTTTGTTTGTCTCGACATAAACGGTAACTGTACAGAATAAATCATGGACATTGGCGTATCAACTTGAACGACACTAGTGCATAATTTTCAGTTATCAATTACAATCTTTGTATTTGTTATGTATATTCTTGGCCTAGAGTAAAATCTGCGTAATGATGATTAAAGCGGTCGGTGGAAGCACATCACAAGTCCCCGCGAGAGAAGAAGAATACTGTATTACATATTAATGGTGTGAGATATTTATCTGCCAGGAAGAAACGTTTCTGGTTGTCTAAATGGCATTTAATATTTTGACGAACTTAATTAACTGTTAGCCTTGGATAAATAGATGTATATTCAGAATCCGTTCTAGCCATTGATATGGATTTATTTGGGAGGTAATTTGAGGCATATTAACAACTTAGACTGAGTTACGGCCGATGATTCAATCTATGATTAATGGAAATATCGAATTGTGCTGTTTCAAACTTGAGTATCGGCTAACCTATCCCTAATCGCAGCCCAGATGAGGTACTGTTGTTTACACATATGGTTGGTCGTCGACTCTAGACCACCGAGACCTGTCACTAGTTTGTTTTTCTTCTGTCCATCATCCTAAATTTTTACCTTGACAACCTAATTACGCAGTATGCTAACACATAGTTAAAAATCGACCAGAAACACCAAGGAAAGCTACAAGTAAGGGATTGATCAAAATCAACTCGCGGGTTTTTTGATATTTTAACTAGAAAAAAATTAAAGGCAAAACATCACAAGTGAATAAAGAACGAAATATATATGTGATTGAAAGGAACAAAATACAAAGCAACTTCCGAGTCGTTTATGACTCAAATCTATGAATGCAAAAAATGTGCAGATGATATTACCCCTAAATTTATAGTGGTCGACTCCTAAGTCCAATTAGTTCGTGACCTTCTATTATAACCGTAGTTAGTCTCGCTACCAACAGTATTGTTTATAATTGCCAATCAATCACCTGGTAATTCCATATAGTATTTAATTATATAATTAGGTATTTGTGAAAAAATAATTACATGTTAATTGTTCAATACATTACTAATAATTTATAATCACTTGTCTTTGATAACCCATAGTGCATAGCGCTAACACTGTATATGTCTTTCGTCTTTTCAAGAGTTCAGTTTCAATAGAGGCATATACGAATAGCATATCAATTAAATAAACGCAAAAATGATGATTTGTGTGTGTGTGTGTGGGGGGGGGGTATGACAAAATACGACCTGCTGCCAATTGATTGCATATGCTTAAAGGATCAGTGTGCTTTGAGATTAAGATTTTATGTACGATCTATATTTTATTAATTATATTTACTGTTAAGAGTGTTTGATCACAGGCAAGAGAACATAGATTATAACTTGAACAACATGCTGGCAACAGCACAGATTATAACAACATACTGGCAACTTAAACCATGCTGGTGTCAAGGTTTATCACTTGTGGTGTAGTGTCA